GTAACAGAGTAAAACACGAGAGAGGGGTGGGTTGATTGCATGTCTGGGACTGCCAAGAGGCCTTTGACACAGTTCTCACTAAGATTAGTGGATATGCTAGAGGATCAGCTCATATAACAGGAAGGGCACTGCAATGAGTCAAGAATACCTGTACAGGGAGGCACACGATCATGTACGTTGAGTATCACAGTGGCACCTGGACGAGAGGGGTTCACAAGGTCTGTCTAGGACCAGTGCTATTTGGTATCTGTGAACGACATGATGGAAGGTAAGACTCAGAAGTGTTCCTGTTCGCAGCAATGTGACGTTATAGGAGAATTAAATCATTGAGACCGGCAGGACTTCAAAGAGAACCTGGACAGACTGGACACTGGTCAGCAAATGCTTCTCGAATTAATCCGCCAAAGCAAGTCATGAGATGGGGAAGAAGAATACGCAGACAGAGTATAGGCTAGGTGGCCAAAGACTGCAAACCTCACTCAAATGGTTGTGTGACGAACGTCGAATAAAATATGACATACTCAGCGCACGCCAATCATCGTGTATCATATTGGTCTTTATAACACCTAGGTTTAGGTGAAATAGATTTCAACTGGATGAATAAATACTAACAAATATAAGTTTATGAACTTTGATTAATATAACAAAAAAAAGTATCTAGGGTTATTAACATTTACAGTGAAATGCATTAACAGAATTAGTCTACTGCACATTACCAGGTACACAGCTTCCGTAACTTATTATGGCATATTCAGTATTCTGTATATTTTATTTAGACTGTGCTTTTAGCACTTAACATATTGTACAATATTATATTCTTAACAATTACCACTATCATCTGGTGCGTTATTGATTTTCAATGTAAGTGACAGACGAAGCAAGAAGTCCCAAATTAAACCAACTTCTGACCAACAGAGACACAATAAGCAAAGCCAACATGAACAGTAAAGCAACCAGTTCTGTAAAAGGAAGATGCACAATGCAGCCATAAGCAGCACAGCGTCAGGCAGGGAAATAGACACAAAAGCAACCCTAGCTGAGGACAGTCGACGTGTCTTCCATACAAGGAAAAAAAATCCATAATTGGTGAATCTAAGTTCAGCAACATTCAAACACTGACTACCACAGTGTGTAGATATCAGTTAAAACAATGAACCTGAAACAGTGTCTCCCAACACAACCTCACAAAATGTCAAAAACCACTAGTCCTGGATGAGGCTCTGTGGAAAGAGTTGCACAAGTTACGAGATGTATATGAGAAGGAGAACTTATACTATAACTTATCCTATTTTCCCTTTAGCTATAAACGAAAATAACATTACCAATATATTATTTGATAAAGGAGAAAATATACACAAGAACTGCATTAGTTTTTTTTCTGAAGACGCAACAAAGAATTAATTAATCACGTCCCCAAGCCTCAGCTTCGGGACGTGATTAATAGAGAGGGAAGGATAATTTAGAAGTTTAATGGGAACGATAATGAATGACCGACTTTGGGGCCTAAAGGCTGGCAATGAGGGCCTGAATGTCTGTTACTTGCCACGAAAATTAATACAGATAGCCAAAATTAATACAGATAGCCGAAATTAATACAGATAGCCGAAATTAATACAGATAGCCAAAATTAATACAGATAGCCAAAATTAATACAAATAGCCGATTTTCGATTTCATTTGTTTAGTAGAAAGGCCCAAAACAAGTGCCAAATTTTCACGCTTTAGTAGTGAAATGGACCGAAAAGCTGAATATGGAATGATAAAACCGAGTTTTTCTGTTCGATTCTCGCCACCGGCGATTATTACAGACGACCTGTTTATTTGAGCACTTGAGGTGGCCAGAATCGGCTGTTGCTTGACGGTTCCTCCCATGACCTTCACTCTTTCCAAAGAATTCTAGCCGTCACGACACAAAATAACCCGCACATAGGAGACTCACACTTATTACCTGGATTACCTGGAGAGAGTTCCAGGGGTCAACGCCCCCGCGGCCCGGTCTGTGACCAGGCCTCCTGGTGGATCAGAGCCTGATCAACCAGGCTGTTACTGCTGGCTGCACGCAAACCAACGTACGAGCCACAGCCCGGCTGGTCAGGAACCGACTTCAGGTGCTTGTCCAGTGCCAGCTTGAAGACTGCCAGGGGTCTGTTGGTAATCCCCCTTATGTATGCTGGGAGGCAGTTGAACAGTCTCGGGCCCCTGACACTTATTGTATGGTCTCTTAACGTGCTAGTGACACCCCTGCTTTTCATTGGGGGGATGTTGTATCGTCTGCCAAGTCTTTTGCTTTCGTAGTGAGTGATTTTCGTGTGCAAGTTCGGTACTAGTCCCTCTAGGATTTTCCAGGTGTATATAATCATGTATCTCTCCCGCCTGCGTTCCAGGGAATACAGGTTTAGGAACCTCAAGCGCTCCCAGTAATTGAGGTGTTTTATCTCCGTTATGCGCGCCGTGAAGGTTCTCTGTACATTTTCTAGGTCAGCAATTTCACCTGCCTTGAAAGGTGCTGTTAGTGTGCAGCAATATTCCGGCCTAGATAGAACAAGTGACCTGAAGAGTGTCATCATAGGCTTGGCATCCCTAGTTTTGAAGGTTTCGGTCGGACTTGGACCATTAACTACTGTGAAGACTTCTGCAAACTTGTGCTAGAACGTTGCCATAGATGTTTATATCTTTTGATGAACTGAAGAGATAAGTAAGTTGTTAAATATTGAAAAAAATATATATAAAAAAGTAAATGTGAGAATTTGGACTACTGACTCTTTTAACCGACTGATTTAAGATTCTTATAAACAGTTTCCTCACTAAACTAAATGATAAATTTCACTCTAAACTGTTCAGGCTATGTTGGTTTGTAAATATTTTCGATAGTTAATCCGTTTTCTATGGTCATTACAGATCGAGCAAGAAAGATAACTATTCCATTTTAAAGGTTGCTAAATTTGCCTATAGATAGGCCAATTTTATTGTTTATTGTCTTCCTTAGATAATATTACGTGGTCAAAAAACACTGAAAGCAATTTTGATATGAGAGTCAAAAACTCGAAACAGTTCACGAAAAAAAAAAAAACTGCAATTATAATTTTCATTCTTTTGACTCACGAAATCGTAATGACACGGTGGGGTTAAAAGGCCCTAAAATCTGGAACTCTGCCTGAAGATTCCTAAGGTTTGCTTTCTGCCAGTCACTTTAAAGCTTTTGTTCAGAATCGACTCCTTACCTTAATGTGATCTTGACAGCAATAAACTATGATAAACAAATTCTCAAACCTGTTGTTTTTTCCTTTTAGTTCTGCCCATGTTCATGTTTCAGTTTTCAATTCTCACATACTACTAGATAGTCACATATCTCATTATGTTTTGTACTGTAACTTAAGAAACTAGTACCACTTACCCAGCTAAACCAGACAATTGTGTGTTCTTATTAAGTAACAAAAAAAACAATACCGTGACTGGAACAATACATAAATAACCCGCACGTAGAAGAGAGGAGCTTACGACGACGTTTCGGTCCGACTTGGGCCTTTTACAAAGTGATTTTGTAAATGGTCCAAATCGGACTGAAACGTCGTCGTAAGCTCCTCTCTTCTATATGCGGGTTATTTGTGTATATTTTCTTACTGTGTTTCTTATGAATTAACCTGTAACTTGCATCTCTTTCTATTTTCTGGTAAATATTAGACCGTTAGTAAAAATAGAAATTAGAAACAGATAATTGAAGAAAGTGAGTATTCTATGGACCTTCAGATTATTGTATGTCCAGGGCAATAATATTGAAATATAGATTAGTATTTGCATTTGTATTTGACCAACATTTATAATAATCGCTAACAAAAGACAAAACAAATTGCTTTGCAAAATATTAAAAAAAAAACTGCAAAATTTCTAAAACTGCCATAATCATGAAGCAAAGTGTTTGGAGTTAATGTTAAAGATTACAAAACTTTTGCATTCTTGTAAACTAAATTAATTATTCATACAGTAGTAACAAGTTAACTTTAAGGCTGCCTGAGATGCTCTGCATAACCAGGGGTTTTTGTATAGTAAGTCAATAATGTTGATTATTCCTGAAACAATAGTAAATTGTAGTATGTCGAACTAGCATTTATCACTTATCATTAAGCTCTCAGTAAATAAAATTGTGAATCACGTATGATGGCTGATTGGTTTGGTTTAAACTCGATCGACTGAACTGTCATTGGGCTCACGTGGCCTGGTGGCTAAAGCTCTCACTTCACATTGCAAGGGTCTGGGATCGATTCCCAGCCAGGGTAGAAACATTGGGCTTGTGTTTTAACACCTGTCGTCTATGTTCACCCATCAATGAAATGGGTACCTGGGTGTTAGTCGACTGGTGTGGGTCGCATCCTGGAACACTGACCCGATTTGCCCGACATGCAGAGCATAACAAGTGGCTTTCTATATAGTAGTATGTCATTGATGTCACCTAGGACTGCATACCTTGTACGTGTACTTGTAGTAAATAAAGATATTATTATTATTATTATTATTATTATTATTATTATTAAATCTGAATGTAACGTCTTCACAACTGGTCAAGTATACAGCAGTCCCTAAAATAGGGTTTAAATACCCTCTAAGCAAACTGTATATACACTGAGATAAATCACTCTATGTAAGTTATCTTAACTGTTATTGCAGAATTACATAAAATTTATAAAATGCTGAGAAAAAACAGTTTCGTCTTTCTTTAAATAAATATTTAATGATTAATTTGAAAGTACAAGATGAAAGTTAAAGAAATAAGAAATATAATTAAAACTAAAAAAAAAGTAGGGAGAAAAACAGAGAATGTGATTGAACATAAAATAAATTAGTATCGTAAGGATGTTTAAAGAAAAGAGAAGGACGAAAAGCATACTAGAGAGAGAGAGAGAGAGAGAGAGAGAGAGAGAAAAAAGAGAGCAAAATTAAAACAAATCAAAAAGTAATTACGATAGATGGGAGGAGGAGGAGGAGGAAGAGAAATGAGTGACTGACCTGTAGTTGTGATGAGTGTGCAGGAACAAGTGGGGAGAGTCGCTGCTCAGGACTGACCCACCTGCACACACCCAAGAAACAAGGAAAAAATTGTTAATAACCTGGTTGTTGATGGTAGCATAAACTCGTTGTATTTGTTAAGAGACACACACACAAATATATTTAGAATTTTACTACAGATAAGAAACCTAGCAAACACATGTGTGATGGCACATATGCAAACACATGGGTGATGGCACATATGCAAACACATGGGTGATGGGACATATGCAAACACATGGGTGATGGCACATATGCAAACACATGGGAATTGTCACATATGCAAACACATGGGTGATGGCACATATGCAAACACATGGGTGATGGGACATATGCAAACACATGGGTGATGGCACATATGCAAACACATGGGTGATGGGACATATGCAAACACATGGGTGATGGCACATATGCAAACACATGGGAATTGTCACACATGCAAACACATGGGTGATGGGACATATGCAAACACATGGGTGATGGCACATATGCAAACACATGGGAATTGTCACATATGCAAACACATGGGTGGTGGCACATATGCAAACACATGGGTGATGGGACATATGCAAACACATGGGTGATGGCACATATGCAAACACATGGGTGATGGCACATATGCAAACACATGGGAATTGTCACATATGCAAACACATGGGTGGTGGCACATATGCAAACATATGGATGATGGCACATATGTAAACATATGGGTGATGGCACATATGGAAACACATGGGTGATGGCACTTATGCGAACACATGGGAGATGGCACATATGCAAACACATGGGTAGAGGCAGATATGCAAACACATGGGAGATGTCACATATGTAAACACATGGGTGATAGCACATGTGCTAACACATGGGAAATGGCATATATGCAAACACACGGTAAATGTCACATATGCAAACACATGGGAGATGGCACATATGCAAACACGTGGGAGATATCACATATGCAAACCAATGGGACATGTCACATATGCAAACACATGGGTGATTACACATATGCAGACACATGGGTCATGGCATATATGCAAACACATGGGAGATGTCACATATGCAAACATATGGGAAATGGCACATATGCCTATATTTATAAATGGTCACAAGTACGATCAATTACAACATAGCCATTTTCTCTATTCAGTGTTATTTTAAAATTATTGGTAAACGCCATTGAGGTTAAGTGGATTCAACACTTAGAGAATAATAACATACTAACTGGTAAACAGTTTGGGTTTTGGTCTGCACAGTCATGTAAATATTTTATAAGTAATTATGACAGATGTAAAAAAATTATTCATGGAAATGGACTGCAAAATTGTATTTACCTGGACTTTAAGAAAACTTGACATGAAAGATTGATTTGGAAACAGAGCAAATTAAAAGAAGAAATTTTACATTACCATGGAAAAAAATAGTTTCTCTTTGAGAGGAAAATGCGGATATTAATAAAAGGAAAAGCTGTATGATTCCGGTGGTTTAGGGCTTAGTTTTAATTATAGTAATATATATAAGAGGGAAAATGTCTGCATGGGAGGATGTGACAAGTGGGGTGCCACAAGATTTTGTACTTGACCCAATAATATTTCTCATTTTGCAATAATGATTTACAAGAAGGAATGAAAAATTATATGAATACCAAACCATGCCACGGGCGGGGATAGAACCCGCGGTCAGAGAGTCTCAAAACTCCAGACCGTCGCGTTAGCCACTGCACCAGCTAGCCACAATAAGATTCGTCCAACTAGGTATATTTCTACACCATAGGAAGGTTAGCATAGGCACCACTGTGACCACAAATGCAAGTTTTTACAGACGAATCTCCAGCTAGCATGGCCGTGACGAACTCTAGCTCAAGTCCCCTCAATGCCGTCAACATGACTCACGAAATCGTAATGACACGATTGCAAACAAACCATACCACCGGCGGGGATTGAACCCGCGGTCAGAGAGTCTCAAAACTCCAGACCGTCGCGTTAGCCACTGGACCAGCTAGCCACAATAATATTCGTTCAACTAGGTATATTTCTACACCATAGGAAGGTTAGCATAGGCACTAATTGAGCTAGAGTTCGTCACGGCTATGCTAGCTAGAGATTCGTCTGTAAAAACTTGCATTTGTGGTCACAGAGGTGCCTGTGCTAACCTTCCTATGGTGTAGAAATATACCTAGTTGGACGAATCTTATTGTGGCTAGCTGGTCTAGTGGCTAACGCGACGGTCTGGAGTTTTGAGACTCTCTGACCGCGGGTTCAATCCCGCCCGTGGTATGGTTTGTTTGCAATCGTGTCATTACGATTTCGTGAGCCAAATACTGCTAGGAATTGACAAGGTGGACAAAGACAGGATGTTCCAGAGATGGCACAAAAACAAGGGGTCACAACTGGAAGTTGAAGACTCCTATAAGTCAAAGTTATGTTAGGAAGTATTTCTTCAGTCATAGAGTTGTCAAGAAGTGGAATAGCCTAGAAAGTGACGTAGTGGAGACAGGAACCATACATAGTTTTAAGACGAGGTTTGATAAAGCTCATGGAGCAGGGAGAGAGAGGACCTAGTTCCAATCAGTGAAGAGGCGGGGCCAGGACCTTTGGCTCGACCTTTGCAAACACAAATAGTTGAGTACAAATATGTGAGTACACACACACACACACACACACACACACACACAACACACACACACACACACACACACACACACACACACACACACACACACACACACACACATACACACATAACACACATAAAAGAAAGCAGACAAAATGCTTGCAGAGCAAAATTTTAATATGCAGTAAATAATTCGGTGCCGGTTCTTCACATTCATGTTGATCAATATCTATGAAGCTCTTGCAACAGAATAACTGAAATTATTATTGGCAAAAAAAAATGGATCGGCTTATTGTATTTACTTAGTAACTAGCATTTAAGAAAGCTTTTGATAGTATTTCCTATGAAAGACACATTTGGAAACAGCAAAACAGAGGAAGAATAAATAATGGGCACAGTTTTCCTATGCATGTTATATTTTCTGAGAGGAAAATGATACCGTTATGGAAGGTAAAGTGTGGAGGTCTGAGGACGGCATCACTGGGATGCCGGAGAGTCTACTTGCTACGAAAATATTTTTAATTTACATGTATGATTTACGAGAAGGAATAAAGAAAATATAAATATGTTTGCAGATGATGGGAAAATCTTAGGTAGAATAAAAATACCAAAAATTACAGATAATTACTTTAGGATTACTAGTATAAGTTACGAAAATAAGTAATTGATGGATAAAGGATTTTTTTGTTTTGTTTTGTAAATAAATATTATAACTCTTACAGGTATGTAAGAGTTATGATATAAAAATATATGTAAATGCAACTCTAAGAAACTTAAGCTTCACCAGCAAACACTAAAATACTTTCAGGTTAGATTAGGTAAAGTTTGTCAGGAAAGAGAACAAGTGTTTCCTGACGCGGATCTTAGTCATATGATGACCCACAGCTAGGGATTTTGATCATCTGACTGAGCCCTTCAGCTGGCTTACCAGTCCATCCCTTATGGTTATGATTATAACCATTTTACCAGTAAATAACAAGGAAAAAATCAAATACGTAGCAGCTGTGTGGTGCTGCACCTAAAATATATTGAGGATATGTTCGAAAATAAACAAATAAGTGCCACGAAATGGCTACAAGAGGTGAGACATAAGTTATGGTTAAATAGTGTTAACATTAAAAAAAAATCCCCAGACAGGAGGAAAAGTGAAAAGAAAACGTCTAGCCGATGGAACTCAAGAAATTTTTCCTCAAAACGAGAGTGGTATTTAAGTGGAATTCACTCAAATGCGGTGGGACCAGACAACGTCTCTCCGTGAGTCCCGAGAGAGGGAGCAGAGGCGACGTGTGTGCCACATCCATAGAAATAGGGAAAGTACCTGAAATGTGGAAGACAACAAATTTAGTCCCAATTTTTAAGAAAGGCTACAGACAGGCAGCATTATACTACAGACCAGTGTCACTGACTTACATAGTATGCAAAGTCATGGAGAAGATTATCAGGGGAAGGGTAGTGAAGCACCTAGAAAAGAATGAACTGATACAAGATAACCAGCACGGTTTTAGGAAAGGGAAATCCTGTGTCGCAAACCTACAGGAGTTTTACGACAAGGAGAGAAGACAAGAGAGAGAGAGGAGGGTAGACTGCATTTTGTTGGACTGTAAGAAGGCATTTAACACGGTTTCACACAAGAGATTAATGCGAAAGCTAGAGGAGCAGGCAGGAATAACAGGAAAGGCACTGCAATGGATCAGATAATAACTGACGGACTGGAAATAATGACTGATGGTACGTGACGAGGTTTCAGAGTGGTACCTGTGACGAGCGGGGTTCCACAGGGGTCAGTCCTAGGGCCGGTGCTTTTCGTGGTATCCGTGAATGACATGAGAGAAGAGACTGAATCAAAGGTGTCCCTGTTTGCAGACGATGTGAAGCTAATGCGAAGAATTCAAACGGAAGAGGATTAGGAAGGACTACAATGGGATCCGGACAGGCTGTAAAACTGGTCGAGCAACTGTCTCCTGGAGTTTAACCCTACTAAATGCAAACTCATGAAGATTGAGGAAGAAGACCGCACACAGAGTACAGGCTAGTGGGCCAAAGACCTCACTCATGGAAAACAATCATGTGATGAGTGTACTACTGAGCACAATTCTGAGGCGCACATCAGCCAAATAACTGCTGCAGCGTATGAGCTCCTAGCAAACCTAAAAATATCATATCGACACCTTAGTAAGAAATTGTTCAAAACTCTGCACACCTTACACCGTGTACCTCAGGGCCATATTGGAGTATGCAGCACCACTATTTAACCCACATTTGGTCAAGCTCGTAAAAAAACAAAATAAAAGTAAGTTCAAAGGTATGCAACACGACTAGTCCCAGAGGTAAAGATTATTTCCTATGAGAAGAGTTTAAGGGAAATCGACCTGATGACTCTGGAGGACAGAGAGGATAGGGGGGACATAA